TCGCTTCGGTCGTTCGGCTTCGCTCGCTTCTCCAGGAGCGTTCAGAGTGGCTCCACCAGTCGGGATGGAGTCGTGGGACCTGGACCGGTCCGCCCCGTTGGAACGCGAAGCGACGAAGCGACGAAGCGACGAAGCGATCGACGGGGCCCCGTGGAACGCATGGCGGAGCTCGTCCTGTTTCTTTTGGAAACAAAGAGGGTGATCCAATCCAATCAAGCGTGAAGCGCGGACCTTGAGCAAGTCCAAGGTGATAGAAAGATCTGAAGGGGCAGAGGAGGCAGAGGCAAAGATCGTGAAGAGCAACAAGAGCAACAAGTTTCTGGTTTGAAATCTAGTCATAAGGTCTAGACCAAAAATACCAAAAGGTCTTGACGCAGCATGATGCACGACAATGCGGCCTCAGGAGCAGTTTCCCTTTGGCAGACAGGATGCAACAGTATATGATTTATATACAGTAATGCAGACAGGTTTGCTTAGGCGTCCTGGAATTACACACAAATCCTGTTCTATGACATGAACTTGAGACTTGAAGCACATCCTGTCCTTCTGATCAGGCCAGTGCTCATGCAGACAGACCGGAGGCAGAAGCTGGGTGGATAAGATGAGGGTCTAACCCTTCCCAAGACTAGGAAACTGACACATCTCTTAGTCTCTTAGTCACTTAGCAGAGGAATCGTTTTCCCCAACCATCTTTGACAGTTCTACAGGTTCTACATGTTTGTTGGCTGAAGGTTGTATCTCCCAGTAAAGACTGTTTGCAAAGATCTGGGTGGAGGCCGAGGTCCTTGTAGAAGGGTTTGCTTTGCAAATAGGAAATCCAAGAAAGGGTTGGAACTGTCGGAACCCCACAGTTGCTTTCTTTACATAACGGACTTCAGTCAGAGTCATATTTGGGAGAAAACCGGTTCTAGGAGCACGGACGCTACGATCGGGGCTCCTGGCATCGCTACGAACGGAGCAAGGTTCGCTACTGGTCACTGTGTGGTCCCAGACACCCCAGTCTCAGGCTCCAGCGGTCGCTCCTCGGCAGTGCTCTGACACCGCCCGGAGCCACGGCACTCCGCTGTGACCTGGGTGAGCCCATGGCGATGGGACGCTACGATCGGGGCTCCTGGCCGTACTACTAGGAGCGATCGGACGCTACGAACGGAGCTTTTGGTGTGAAGTGGTACGACTTCTCAAACTTCTTTTGGGTGCACATGACATTCATTCGTACAATTTTGAAGTTTGCTTTCCATGTTGTGGGTGGCTCAAGGGTAAGGATGTGAGGGGGTTGTGATGCCAAAGGATGCTTTGCGGTCAGAGCTAGCAGTTTGTTCTGTGTTTTGGCCTCTACTGCCCCTGTCGTCGTCATACTCTTGCGGTGCTCATACAACTGTTACAAGGAACGGCAGAAGACTTTAAGAAAGCAAGCAAGGAACACAGGAAGGAAGGAAGAAGGTCCAAGGCATCTAAGGGTCTAACACAAACAAAAAAGACGGGAAACACAAGAACTGGAAATCATCATGAACACCAACATATCATAATATAGTATTTGAACCTCCACCCAAAACTGAAGAGCTTCTACAATCCATGACTGGGCGGATTTTATCAATCAAGAGTCTACACATGTGAGTCAAAACCCGGAACCTTTCCACCCCGATCGGTTGACCACCGACTCGGTCGTTGCTAGTCCATTCGGTGCATTTTCACTGATCAACCGGTCGGTCTCACCTACTAGCGTCCTTGCTCCTAGTAGC